CAAATCATCCATGGCAACCAAGACCTCCATGGTGGCCAAATCACCCATGGCAACCAAGACCTCCATGGTGGCCAACATCTATGGCAACCAAGACCTCCATGGTGGCCAAATCACCCATGGCAACCAAGACCTCCATGGTGGCCAAATCACCCATGGCAACCAAGACCTCCATGGTGGCCAACATCTATGGCAACCAAGACCTCCATGGTGGCCAAATCATCCATGGCAACCAAGACCTCCATGGTGGCCAAATCATCCATGGCAACCAAGACCTCCATGGTGGCCAAATCACCCATGGCAACCAAGACCTCCATGGTGGCCAAATCAACCATGGCAACCAAGACCTCCATGGTGGCCAAATCACCCATGGCAACCAAGACCTCCATGGTGGCCAAATCATCCATGGCAACCAAGACCTCCATGGTGGCCAACATCTATGGCAACCAAGACCTCCATGGTGGCCAAATCATCCATGGCAACCAAGACCTCCATGGTGGCCAAATCATCCATGGCAACCAAGACCTCCATGGTGGCCAAATCACCCATGGCAACCAAGACCTCCATGGTGGCCAAATCACCCATGGCAACCAAGACCTCCATGGTGGCCAACATCTATGGCAACCAAGACCTCCATGGTGGCCAAATCATCCATGGCAACCAAGACCTCCATGGTGGCCAAATCATCCATGGCAACCAAGACCTCCATGGTGGCCAAGTCACCCATGGCAACCAAGACCTCCATGGTGGCCAAATCATCCATGGCAACCAAGACCTCCATGGTGGCCAAATCACCCATGGCAACCAAGACCTCCATGGTGGCCAAATCACCCATGGCAACCAAGACCTCCATGGTGGCCAAATCACCCATGGCAACCAAGACCTCCATGGTGGCCAAATCACCCATGGCAACCAAGACCTCCATGATGGCCAAATCACCCATGGCAACCAAGACCTCCATGGTGGCCAAATCATCCATGGCAACCAAGACCTCCATGGTGGCCAAATCATCCATGGCAACCAAGACCTCCATGATGGCCAAATCACCCATGGCAACCAAGACCTCCATGGTGGCCAAATTATCCATGACAGCCAAGACCTCCATGATGGCGAAATCACCCATGGCAACGAAGACCTCCATGGTGGCCAAATCGTCCATGGCAACCAAGACCTCCATGGTGGCCAAATCAACCATGGCAACTAAGACCTCCATGGTGGCCGTCACCTATGGCAACCAAGACCTCCATGTTGGCCAAATCATCCATGGAGGTCTTGGATGGTCCAAATCACCCCCCTGGAGACCCCTGCCCGGGTTCGTACCTCTCCGCATTGACGCACTGTGCCTCCTTTGCTGCAGGTGAGGACAGCCCAGAAGGATCTGCCCCCGGAGCGCCAGGCCTCGCAGCAGATGGTGGCTGAGGCGTATCAAAGCCAGGGGAACTCTGGCAACTACCTGCACCTGGCGGTGGGCGCCAGCCAGGTGCAGCCTGGGGACAACCTCCCCATCAACTTCCATCTCAAGAGCAACAGAGAGGACGTCCGCAGATCCGTTTCCTACTTCACCTACCTGGTGAGCGCGCACGACTTCTGCCACCCCCGACCCCATCCCAGGGATCGGGGTGCCCAGACCACCCACCCACTCTGCCTTTCCTTACCCACCGCAGATCCTGAGCAAGGGGCACATCGTCCACGTGGGACGGCAGCCAAGGGAAGGTGACCAGAGCCTGGTCACTATGTCACTTCCCGTGACGGCCAACCTCATCCCTTCCTTCCGTATCGTGGCCTACTACCATGTGAAACCCGGCGAGATCGTGGCTGATTCTGTCTGGGTCGACGTCAAGGACACCTGCATGGGCAGTGTGAGCATGTCCCCGTCGTCTCTGAGTTGGGGGAGGACCATTGGGGCATCGATTGGCCCTTGGGAGGGGTTCAGTTGGCTTTCAGAGCGAATTGTGTGGTGTTTCGGTGGCTCCTTTTGGGGCCTGGGGGTCCCTGGGGGACTGACGGTGTCCTTGGGCAGCTTGAGTGGCCCAACAGGGAGCTTGCAGGTCCTTGGGGACTTGGATATCCCTTGAGGAACTGGAGTAGCCCAGTGGAGACTTGAGTGGCCCATTGGGGATTTGCGTGTCCAGCAGAGCTTGGACAGCCCTTGGGAAACTTGAGGATCCAATGGGAATCTTGGTTGGCCCGATGGGGGACTTGTAGGTTCTTGGAGGCCTGAGGAACTTGAGTGGCTAATGGGTATTTTGGGTGGCCCAAAGGGTTTGGATTTGGGTGTCCTTTGTACTCGGAAATCCCTCGTGGAACTTGAATTGACCCAACGAGGGACTGGGGTGTCCCTGCGGTCTTGGGTGTCCTCGAGGACCTGGGAGGTCCTTGGGGAATTTGAATGGCCCAGTAGAAATTTGAGTGGCCCGATGGGCCTGGAAAACCTCAGGTGTTCTTTGATTGGGTGTCACGGAGGGCATCTTTTGGGGAACTGGGTGCTGCTGGGCGGCCTGAATGTCCCTGGGAGGGCGAAGTGTCTTTGAGGAGCCCATGGGATGTTTAGGTGGCCTTTGAGAGGAGCGGGTGGCCCACGATGGTTCGGATGCTCCACGGGGGGACCAGGTGGCTCATGCAGGGTTTGCTCTTCAAGAGAGGCTTGAATGCCCTCGAGGTTTCCTATGCAGAGCCTGGGCAGCCCATGGGTGCCTTGGGCATCTCACGAATGCTTTGCGTGGTCTGCGGGTGGCTCAGGTGGCCGACCTGGCCGTTGGTTGTCCAGGAGTCCAAAACGGCCTTTGGGGGCACAGATGTGGCACCTCCTAGGGCTGGTGGGGGCTTTTTGCGTTCCCCACAACCCCAACCCCGCTGTGTCCCTGGCAGCTGGTGGTGAAGGGAGCATCGGAGGCCGACAATCGTGTGCACGAGCCGAGGACCCCCATGCGGCTGCGCATCGAGGGTGACCACAAAGCCCACGTGGGGCTGGTGGCCGTGGACAAGGCTGTCTACGTCCTCAACAAGAACAAACTCACCCAGAGTAAGGTGGGAGCTCCAGTTCCACCCTCTGCTGTCCCCGACGTCCCCCCAGAGGCAGGAGGATCTTTCGGGGTTGTCCCTTTGTTGGCCACAGGTGTGGGACACAGTGGAGAGCAGTGACATCGGCTGCACCCCGGGCAGTGGGAGGAACCACGTGGGGGTCTTCGCCGACGCAGGCCTCAGCCTGGCTACGAATGTGAACATCGAAACGGAGCAGAGAGGTGGTGGGTGACACGACGGGATGGGGAACAGACACCAGAGGGGTGGGACGTGCCGAGGGTGGGGACGCCATGTCTCCCAGAAGCGGAGTTGTGTCAGCATGGGGACGGAACCCACGGGTGACATCGTGGGGACGGGGGGTGACACCTGAGGGGAGGAGGATGCGGTCCTACGGTGTGTGGGGTGCGACGCCTGCCTTCTGTGGGAAGGATCCTGGCCTGGATCCTGACCGATGTCACCTTTGTCCCCAGAGGTCCAATGCGCGAAACCTGCAAAACGCAAGCGCCGCTCCGTGAAGCTCATCAAGCACAAGGGCACCAAGAGTAGGTGGCACTGGGAGCACCAGCCTGTCCTGGGTCCTCAGGGACACCACGCTGTCCCATCACCCGAGATGCTGGATTGTCCCACAAGGGACAGCGGAGCCCCCCGTATCCCCGATGGGGCCGCGAGGTCGGATGCCATCGGGGTGTTTTGGTGCTGGCAGTGGCCGAGTACAGCGACAGGAACCTGCGCAAGTGCTGCGAGGACGGCATGAAGGAAAACCTGATGGGCTACAGCTGTGAGAAACGGGCCACCTACATCCTCGATGGCACGGCCTGCACCGAAGCCTTCCTCAACTGCTGCCTGTACATCAAGGGCATCCGCGACGAGGAGCGCGATCTGCATTACGAGCTGGCTCGAAGCAAGTGCTGGGAGCAGTGGGGTGACAGCAGGGGGGGACGGACGGAATGGGCAGAGCTTGAGAAAGGCTTGGGGGGGTGTTAAGTGAGGAGGGGGCGGCGTTTGGGCGATCGGTGCGTGAGTGATGCTCAGGCAAAAGCGGGGTGAAGCGTGAGCGAAGCTCATGTGAAGCTTGGGGGAAGCTTCAGTGAACTGCGGTCAATGCACATCTTGGGAGGCGTTTGGGAAACGGTTGGGTGATGCTGGGGCAAAGGCTGGGCAGCGATGGCCCAGCAGTTGGGAGGCCTTGGGGCAAAGTTCAGCTGATCCTTGCAGAAATGTAGGGTGATATTTGGGCAAGGATTTGGTGATGCTTCGGGGAAGCGACGGCGAAGTGTGAGCAACGCACGAGCGATGCTTGCGCGTCCCTCGTGTGGGGTGAAGCTTACAAGGAGCTTGGTTGATATTTAGGCAATGCCTAAGCAAAGACTGGGCGACGCTTAGGTGGAAGTTGGGTTGTGCCGGGGTTGATTCCGGTGGGTGGGATCCCATGGACACAGATGTGGTTGAGAGGGCTGTCGCCGTCCCCAGGTGAGGTGGATGACGCCTTCCTGGCCGACGAAGACATCACCTCGCGGAGCCTCTTCCCAGAGAGCTGGCTGTGGCAGGTGGAGGAGCTGACAGAACCGCCCAATGAACTGGGGTGAGCCCAACGTCCCGGTTCCAGTAGAGGTATCGCTCCAAGCCAGGCCTGAGGACAACCACCACCCCATATCTCTATGTGGGGATCCATCATCTCCTACCCAATACGATCTGGACACCCAGCAAGCCCAAAGTGGGGACAAGCCATGACTCCTTCAGTCTATATGAGGTCAACAAATGGCACACTTGGCCTTGGGACCTGTCGACTTCTTAGTCTAGCTCCACGGCCACCTGCACCCCGTGGTCCAGCTAGGGGACAAGCTGTAACCATCCTGGTCCAGTTTGGTGGCTGCTTACACCCCTCTGTCCAGTTGTGGAGCCAATTCTAACCCCCCTGGTTGTTTGCATCCCCTCTAGCATCTCCACGAAGACGCTGCCCATATACCTGAAAGACTCCATCACCACCTGGGAGGTCCTGGCTGTCAGCCTCTCTGAGAAGAAGGGTACGTGATGGAGGAGGAAGAAATTCCTGGGACAGATGACTTGCTCAAATCTTTGGGGTGGACTCTAGGACTTGAAGAGTCCCCAAAAATTGGAAGGGTGAATTTGGGGATGGAGGGGTCTCCAAAATGAGAGAGGGATTCATAACTCTGGAGAGGTTTTCCAAGCTCTGGGGACGTCTGTGGGACTTGAGGGGTCTCCAAAATCCTGAGGGGTTCTTGTGGAGTTTGAGGGGTCTCCAAAACGAGAGAGGGATTCGTAACTCTGGAGAGGTATCCCAAACTTTGGGGGCATCTGTGGGACTTCAGGGGTCTCCAAAATCCTGAGGGGTTCTTGTGGAGTTTGAGGGGTCTCCAAAATGAGAGAGGGATTCGTAACTCTGGAGAGGTACCCCAAATTTTGGGGACGTCTGTGGGACTTGAGGGGTCTCCAAACTCCTGAGGGGTTCTTTTGCAGTTTGAGGGGTCTCCAAAACGAGAGAGGGATTCGTAACTCTGGAGAGGTACCCCAAACTTTGGGTGCATCTGTGGAACTTGAGGGGTCTCCAAAATCCTGAGGGGTTCTTGTGGAGTTTGAGGGGTCTCCAACATATGAGAAGGGTTTGTAACTCTGGAGAGGTACCCCAAACTTTGGGGACGTCTGTGGGACTTGAGGGGTCAGGCAAACCTTGAAGGAACTCGGAGACATTTCCCCAAGCCCTGGGGATGTCCCTGGGACCACGGGGGGCCAAACCAGCTCACAATCCCCAACCCACAGGGTTGTGCGTGGCCGACCCCTACGAGATCACGGTGATGAAGGAGTTCTTCATCGACCTGCGCCTGCCCTACTCGGCGGTGAGGAACGAGCAGGTGGAGGTCCGTGCCATCCTCTACAACTACTGGAAGAGCAAGATCAAGGTGGGTGCCCTCACTCCAGCGCTTGTAGGGCGATCCGTGGCCGCCTGAACCCAACGTCTCTCTGTATCCCCAGGTGCGCGTGGAGCTGATGTACAACCCGGCCCTGTGCAGCGCGTCCACCTCCAAGACGCGCTACCAGCAGATCTTGCAACTGGAGCCCCAGACGTCGCACGCTGTGCCCTTCGTCATCGTGCCCTTGCAGCTGGGGCAGCACGACGTGGAGGTGAAGGCGGCCGTCTGGGAGAGCTTTGTGTCTGATGGCGTCAAGAAGAAGCTCAGAGTGGTGGTGAGTAGCCCCTGCTGCCGCCTCGGCCCTCCGATGCCCCCCAGCTCCTCCCGGTCCTCCTGACGGCATCGTCGTCCACGCTTCGTCCCGGTGTTGGCACCCAGAGATGAAGGATCCCCCATCTGCGCTCAGGAGTTGTCTCCTGGGATTCTCCATCCCTGGAGGTCTCCCAGTTTGTCCCGTGACCACGCGCTGGTCGATGCTGGAGCACTTTCTTAGCCAAACCCGGAGAGGTTGGGAAGGGGAAACGTCAAATCAGCTCAGCGCTGAGCGTGGGTCTCTCCCCTCTGCAGCCCGAAGGGATGAGGCTGGAGAAGACGGTGAAGATAGTTGAGCTTGACCCAAAGACGTTGGGAAACAGTGAGTGGCCCCGCTCTGGTCCTGTGGAATCTCATCCCGTGGGTTGAGTGGGAGGAGAAGGGAAATTGGGAAAGACAACTGTGTGCGTGAAGTGCGGTGGATGCACCACCAAGGGCAAGATGGGAGCATACTGCGGGACGAGGGACAAGCAGTGTGCCACTGTGGGGCTGGAGGGCTGCCCTGTTGGCCTATGGGGTGTCAGTGGAATCGGGGACATCCTACTGAGTGGAGACATCTCAGGAAAAAGGACATCCTGGTATGGGTCTGGAGCATCGTGGGGATAAGGGACACCCTGCTGTGGATGTGGGGTGGGACTGGGTCACCTCAGGGAAGGGGGGGAGAAGGATTTAGGGCCACCCACCTCCATCCTGTCCTCTCCCTGCCCCACAGACGGCGTGCAGGAAGTGAAGGTGAAAGCAGCAAACCTCTCTGACATCGTCCCCAACACCGAGTCGGAGACCAAAGTCAGCATTCAAGGTGACAGCATGGGAGAAGGGGCGGACGGGGCGGGCCTGGAGGGGACAAGACACTCCTCCTTGACATCACCTCCCTTCCCCTTGTTCCAGGCAACCCCGTATCCATCCTGGTGGAGAAAGCCATCGATGGGACCAAGCTGAAACACCTCATTGTGACCCCGTCGGGCTGCGGGGAGCAGAACATGATTGGGATGACACCCACCGTCATCGCTGTCCACTACCTGGACAGCACGATGCAATGGGAGACCTTCGGTATCCACCGCCGTGCGGAGGCCATCGAATTGATTAAAAAGGGTGAGAGCATCCCGGAGAGGAAAAGAGGGATCTTTTAGGGTGCAAAATGAAAGTGTCTTCCGAGGGGCTAAAGGGCATTTGCATCTTAAGATGTAGAACCATGGGATGTTTGGGTGGGAAGGGTCCTTGAAGGTCACAGAGTCGTAGGGGTCGGAAGGGGCCTCCAGAGCTCATCGAGTCCAACCCCCCTGCCTAAGCAGGTTCCCATAGAACCTGTCATGGAACTGTAGAACGGGTTGAGTTGGAAGGGATCTTAAAGATCGTGGAATCTTGGAATCCCGAAACGATTTGGGGTTGGAAGGGGCCTTCGAGATCATAGAACATGAACGGGTTGAGTTGGAAGGGACCGTCTTGTTCCAAACCTTCATCTGCAAAACATAAGCAAAGCGGGCTCTCCAGCCCTGTTAATTTCCCTTCCATGCTTTTAACTGTGAAGAATGGAACCATTTTTCCCGTCTTTTCGCCCCCTTTCTGATTATATTCGCATAGGTTGGGTGCCACCGGTTTGGGGATTTCCAGATCTACTGGTTCGTGCTGGGATGGGCACCGCAAGGGGCTTGGAGGCCTGAAACCACCCCTAGGTGACCCACATGTTGGCCAACTGCCCTCTGCCCACCAGGTTACACCCAACAGCTCGCCTTCCGCAAAGACGACGGCTCGTTTGCTGCCTTCACTAACCGCCCATCCAGCACCTGGTGAGGGACCCCATCCCAACACCGCCACCACGGGGGGTTTGGGTGACAGCGTCGGATGCGACGCCGAGTTCTCCCGTCCTCAGGTTGACGGCCTACGTGGCCAAGGTCTTCGCCATGGCCATCAACATGGTGGACATCAAGCCAGAGGTGGTCTGCGGAGCCATCAAATGGCTCATCCTGGAGAAGCAGAAACCAGACGGGCTTTTCCAAGAAGACGCCCCCGTCATCCATAAGGAGATGGTGGTATGGGGGGGAGACCCGAAGCGCCGTCCCTATTCGTGATCGAGACCCGTTGGCTCAAGGATGGGCAACCGTGGGGGGAAAAAAACTCATCTGGGTGACAGGGACAAGTGTGGGGTGGACACAGCTTGCTGTGAGACCCACAGAATCCGAGGTTTGGCCCCTCATTCCGCAGGGAGGTTACCACGGCGCCGAGCCCAGCGTGTCCCTGACCGCCTTCGTCCTCTCCGCGCTGCAGGAATCCCAGAAGATCTGCAAGAACTACGTGAAAGTGAGCGACCCGGAACCTGCTTTGGTGGGGGGGGGGGGTTGGACTCCATGATCTCTGGAGGTCATAGAATCATAGAATCATAGAATCATAGAATCATAGAATCACCAAGGTTGGATCAGACCTCAAAGCTCCCCCAGTCCAACCGTTCACCTCTTACCAACAGCTCCCACTGAACCACGTCCCGCAGCACAACAGCATGGGGAGACATAGGGACACATGGGGACTCCATAGGGACACATGGGGACTCATAGGGACACATGGGGACTCCATAGGGACACATGGGGACTCATAGGGACACATGGGGACGCCATAGGGACACATGGGGACTCATAGGGACACATGGGGACTCCATAGGGACACATGGGGACTCATAGGGACACATGGGGACTCCATAGGGACACATGGGGGCGCCATAGAGACACATGAGGACTCATAGGGACACATGGGGAGCCATAGGGACACATGGGGATGCCATAGGGACACATGGGGACTCCATAGGGACACATGGGGAGCCATAGGGACACATGGGGAGCCATAGGGACACATGGGAACTCCATAGGGACACATGGGGCTGCCATAGGGACACATGGGGACTCCATAGGGACACATGGGGACTCCATAGGGACACATGGGGCTGCCATAGGGACACATGGGGACTCCATAGGGAAACATGGGGCTGCCATAGGGAAACATGGGGACTCCATAGGGACACATGGGGATGCCATAGGGACACATGGGGCTGCCATAGGGAAACATGGGGACTCCATAGGGACACATGGGGCTGCCATAGGGACACATGGGGCTGCCATAGGGAAACATGGGGACTCCATAGGGACACATGGGGCTGCCATAGGGACACATGGGGACTCCATAGGGACACATGGGGCTGCCATAGGGACACATGGGGCTGCCATAGGGAAACATGGGGACTCCATAGGGACACATGCGGATGCCATAGGGAAACATGGGGACTCCATAGGGACACATGGGGACTCCATAGGGACACATGAAGATGCCATAGGGACACATGGGGACTCCATAGGGACACATGGGGTGCCATAGGGACACATGGGGACTCCATAGGGACACATGGGGTGCCATAGGGACACATGGGGACTCCATAGGGACACATGGGGCTGCCATAGGGACACATGGGGACGCCATAGGGACACATGGGGTGCCATAGGGACACAAGGGGACGCCATAGGGACACATGGGGATGCCATAGGGACACATGGGGACTCCATAGGGACACATGGGGAGCCATAGGGACACATGGGGACTCCATAGGGACACATGGGGAGCCATAGGGACACATGGGGACTCCATAGGGACACATGGGGAGCCATAGGGACACATGAGTGCTCCATAGGGACACATGGGGACTCCATAGGGACACATAGAATCATAGACCCATAGAATCCCCAAGGTTGGAACAGACCTCAAAGCTCCCCCAGTCCAACCGTTCCCCCATTCCCAACAGCTCCCACTGAACCACGTCCCTCAACACAACATCCAGCCTTTCCTTCAACACCCCCAGGCTCGGTGCCTCCTCCACCTCCCTGTGCATCCATTCCAGTGCCTGACCACCCTTTCTGAACAGCAATTCTTCCTCATGTCCAGCCTGAATCTCCCCTGCCGTAGCTTGAAGCCGTTCCCTCTGCTCCTATCCCTGATGGCACGAGAGCAGAGGCCGACCCCCAGCTCCCTGCAGCCTCCCTTCAGGCAGCCATAGAGAGCAGTGAGGTCTCCCCTGAGCTCCTCTTCTCCAGGCTGAACATTCCCAGCTCCTTCAGCCTCTCCTCATCAGCCCTGTGCTCCAGACCCCTCACCATTTCATTGCCCTCCTTTGACCACGTTCCAGGCCCTCCATGTCTTTCTTGCAGCGAGGGGCCCAAAACCGGACCCAGCACTCGAGGTGCGGCCTCACCAGTGCTGAGCACAGGGGCACAATCACCTCCCTGCTCCTGCTGGCCATTTCTGATGCAGGCCAGGCTGCCCTTGGCCTTCCTGGCCACCTGGGCACACTGCTGGCTCCCGTTCAGCCCAGCATCCATCCATCCCCCCAGCTCCATTTCCTCTACGCCGTCCTCCAGCCTGCAGCGTCGCCTGGGGTCGTTGCAGCCCAAGCGCAGCACCCGGCATTTGGCCTTGTTGAACCTCATCCATGGGCTTCAGCCCAGCTCTGCAGCCTGTCCAGATCCCTCTGTAGGGCCTCGCCACCCCCAGGCAGATCCACGCTTCCAGCCCATTTGGTGCCATCTGCGGATGTACTGAGGCTGGACTCGATGCCCTCATCCAGGCCATCAGTAAAGATATTGCAGAGAGGGGTTGGAAGGGACCCTACGATTCTGTGATTCCGTGACCCGGGGCTCAGCAACGCGTGTGGGGCTGGGGGGAGGAGGAGGGGCGCCCAACCCCTATAGCAGCCACCCGAGAACCCGCGTCGTCGTTCTTTCTCGCTCAGAGCTTGGATGGGAGCATCTCCAAAGCCTCCGATTACCTGACCCGGAAATACCAATCCCTGGCTCGACCCTACACGGTGGCCTTGACTTCTTACGCCCTGGCCCTAACGGGGAAACTCAACAGCGAGAAAGTTCTGATGAAGTTCTCCAAAGGTGAAAGGGGAACAAATCCGGGGCAGGGGGAGGAAGTGAGCTCAGGTGCTGGGGGTGACGAAGCCCCACGTCCCCTCATGTCCCCCCATGTCCCATCCCCCCCCCCATGTCCCCCCGTGTCCCCCCTTCCCGTGTCCCCCCATGTCCCCCCCTGTGTTCCCCCGTGTCCCTACTGATCCCCGTGTCCCTCTGTATCCCCACGGACCCACAGATCCCCGCGTCCCTTCGTATCCCCATGTCCCTCTGTGTTCCCACATTTCTCCATATCCCCATGTCCCTCCATGTCCCCACGTCCCTTCTTGTCCCCATGTCCTTCCGTGTCCTCACGTCCTTCTCTCTCTCTCCATGTTCCCATGTCCCACCAGGTCCCCGCGTCCCTGCAGAGCCCCATGTCCTTCTATGTCCTCATGTCCTTCTTCTATCTCCCCCCATGTCCCTCCACATCCCCATGTCCCTACAAATCCCCACGTCCTTCTATCTCCCCCCATGTCCCTCCACGTCCCCATGTCCCTGCAGATCCCCACGTCCTTCTATCTCCCCCCATGTCCCTCCATGTCCCCATATCCCTACAAATCCCCACGTCCTTCTATCTCCCCCCATGTCCCTCCATGTCCCCATATCCCTACAAATCCCCACGTCCTTCTATCTCCCCCCATGTCCCTCCATGTCCCCATGTACCTGCAGATCCCCACGTCCTTCTATCTCCCCCCATGTCCCTCCACATCCTCATATCCCTACAAATCCCCACATCCTTCTTCTTTCCCTCTCCATGTCCCTACGTCCCACCGGTTCCCCACGTCCATCCAGAAGTGGGTTTAGGGGACACAGCAGTGAGGTTGGGGAGGGCTGACAAACCCCCTCCGGGTGACGCTGAGGCCTCGATGTCACCCAGACGGCACCCACTGGGCGGAACGCAACGCCCACACCTACAACATCGAGGGGACATCCTACGCTCTGCTGGCGCTGCTGCAGATGGAGAAGAGCGAGCTGACGGGGCCGGTGGCCCGCTGGTTGGCCCAGCAGAACTACTTTGGTGGTGGCTACGGATCCACCCAGGTGGGCTACGGACCACCCCCCACCTCCTGTGGCACCTGTGGCACCTGTGGCACATACAGCCATCGGGGGGGCGGTTGGGGTAAGATGGGGCCATGGGGTGGTGAGAGTCACCTTATGGCCACGGGGACCCCTGGGGGCACCCCGTGCCTGAGAGCCTGGGGATCCCTAGGATCTGTCTTGTCCTTTGGGGTCAGGCCCTGTCCTTTGGGGACACATCCTGTCCTTTGGGGACATGTCAAGTCCTTTAGGGTCAGGCCCTGTCCTTTGGGGACACATCATGTCCTTTGGGGACACATCATGTCCTTTGGGGACCTGTCTTGTTCTTTGGGGTCATGTCCTGTCCTTTGGGGACACATCACGTCCTCTGAGGACATGTCAAGTCCCCTGGGGACCTGTCCTGTCCTTTGGGGACATGTCCTATCCTTTGGGGTCAGATCCTGTCCTTTGGGGACACATCCTGTCCCTTGGGGACATGTTAAGTCCTCTGGGGACCTGTCCTATCCTTTGGGGTCATGTCCTGTCTTTTGGGGACACATCATGTCCTCTGAGGAGATGTCAAGTCCCCTGGGGACCTGTCCTGTCTTTTGGGGTCAGGTCCTGTCCTTTGGGGACACATCCTGTCCTTTGGGGACATGTTAAGTCCTCTGGGGACCTGTCCTGTCCTTTGGGGTCATGTCCTGTCCTTTGGGAACACATCATGTCCTTTGGGGACCTGTCCTGTCCTTTGGGGTCATGTCCTGTCCTTTGGGGACCTGTCCTGTCCTTTGGGGTCATGTCCTGTCCTCTGGGGACCTGTCCTGTCCTTTGGGGTCTTGTCCTGTCCTTTGGGGTCATGTCCTGTCTTTTGGGGACACATCATGTCCTTTGGGGACATGTCAAGTCCTCTGGGGACCTGTCCTGTCCTTTGGGGACCTGTCCTGTCCTTTAGGGTCATGCCCTGTCCTTTGGGAACACATCATGTCCTTTGGGGACCTGTCCTGTTCTTTGGGGTCATGTCCTGTCCTTTGGGGACACATCATGTCCTCTGAGGACATGTCAAGTCCCCTGGGGACCTGTCCTGTCTTTTGGGGTCAGGTCCTATCCTTTGGGGACACATCATGTCCTTTGGGGACCTGTCCTGTCCTTTGGGGTCATGTCCTGTCCTTTGGGGACACATCCTGTCCCTTGGGGACATGTTAAGTACTCTGGGGACCTGTCCTGTCCTTTGGGGTCATGTCCTGTCCTTTGGGAACACATCCTGTCCCTTGGGAACATGTCCTGTCCTTTGGGGTCAGGCCCTGTCCTTTGAGGACACATCATGTCCTTTGGGGACATGTCCTGTCCTTTGGGGTCATGTCCTGTCCTCTGGGGACCTGTCCTGTCCTTTGGGGTCATGTCCTGTCCTTTGGAGTCATGTCCTGTCCTTTGGGGACACATCATGTCCTTTGGGGACATGTCCTGTCCTTTGGGGTCATGTCCTGTCCTCTGGGGACCTGTCCTGTCCTTTGGGGTCATGTCCTGTCCTTTGGAGTCATGTCCTGTCCTTTGGGGACACATCATGTCCTTTGGGGACATGTCCTGTCCTTTGGGGTCATGTCCTGTCCTTTAGGAACACATCCTGTCCCTTGGGAACATGTCCTGTCCTTTAGGGTCAGGCCCTGTCCTTTGGGGACACATCCTGAACTTTGGGGACCTGTCCTGTCCTTTGGGGACCTGTCCTGTCCTTTGGGGACACATCCTATCCTTTGGGGTCATGTCCTGTCCTTTGGGGTCATGTCCTGTCCTTTGGGAACACATCCTATCCTTTGGGGTCATGTCCTGTCTTTTGGGGTCATGTCCTGTCCTTTGGGGCCAGGCCCTGTCCTTTGGGGTCACATCCTGAACTTTGGGGACCTGTCCTGTCCTTTGGGGTCATGTCCTGTCCTTTGAGGTCAGGCCCTTTGGGGACACATCCCCTCCTTTGGGGTACAGCTCATATCCCAAAGAGCTCCTGCCTTTTGGGGACACCTCTTGAGGTCCCCAAGGTTCACCAACGACACCAAACGTCTCCCGGAGACGGGGCTCAGCCCAGGGCCGAAAGCTTTGTGGCACAGCCCTGGCGACGTCCCCCAGCCTCAGCGTCCCCTTTGTCCCCGCAGGCCACCATCCTGGTGTTCCAGGCTCTGGCTCAGTACCACGTCGCGCAGCCGAGGCAGTCGGAGCTCAACCTGGACGTGTCGGTGCTGCTGCCGCGCCGCGCCAACGCCATCACCTACCGCATCGAGAGCAGCAACGCGCTGGTGGCGCGCTCCGCAGAGGTACGGCGCCGTGTCACCATGGGCACCGGTGTCATCTTTGTTGATGCCACTCCAGGCCTTGGTCATCATTGTCACCAGTGCCTTCCTTGTTGATGCCACTCCAGCCCTTGGTGTCACCATGGGCACCAGTGCCTTCCTTGTTGATGCCACTCCAGCCCTTGGTGTCACCATGGTCACCAGTGTCATCGTTGTTGGTGCCACTCCAGCCCTGCATGTCACCATTGTCACCAGTGTCATCCTTGTCACTGATGCCACTCCAGCTCTTCATGTCACCATTGTCACCGGTGTCATCCTTGTCATTGATGCCACTCCACCCTGTGGTGTCACCATTGTCACCAGTGTCATCCTTGTTGATGCCACTCCAGGTCTTGGTGTCATCATTGTCACCAGTGCCTTCCTTGTTGATGCCACTCCAGCCCTTGGTGTCACCATTGTCACCGGTGTCATCGTTGTTGATGCCACTCCAGCCCTGCATGTCACCATTGTCACCAGTGTCATCCTTGTCACTGATGCCACTCCAGCTCTTCATGTCACCATTGTCACCGGTGTCATCCTTGTCATTGATGCCACTCCACCCTGTGGTGTCACCATTGTCACCAGTGTCATCCTTTTTGATGCCACTCCAGGTCTTGGTGTCACCATGGTCACCAGTGTCATCCTTGTCACTGATGCTGCTCCAGCCCTTGGTGTCACCATTGTCACCAGTGTCATCCTTGTTGATGCCACTCCAGCCCTTGGTGTCACCATTGACACCGGTGTCATCTTTGTTGGTGCCACTCCAGGCCTTGGTGTCACCATGGTCACCGGTGTCATCCTTGTTGATGCCACTCCAGCCCTTCATGTCACCATGGTCACCAGTGTCATCCTTGTCATTGATGCCACTCCAGCCCTTGTTGTCACCCTTGTCACCGGTGTCATCCTTGTCATTGATGCCACTCCAGCCCTTGGTGTCATCATGGTTGCCGATGTCATCCTTGTTGATGCCACTCCAGCCCTTCATGTCACCATTGTCACCGGTATCATCGTTGTTGATGCCACTCCAGCCCTTGGTGTCACCATGGTCACCAGTGTCATCCTTGTTGATGCCACTCCAGCCCTTGGTGTCACCATGGTCACCAGTGCCATCCTTGTTGATGCCACTCCAGCCCTTCATGTCACCACGGTCACCAGTGTCATCCTTGTCATTGATGCCACTCCAGCCCTTCATGTCACCCTTGTCACCAGTGTCATCATTGTTGATGCCACTCCAGCCTTTCATGTCACCCTTGTCACCGGTGTCATCGTTGTTGGTGCCACTCCAGGCCATGATGTCATCATTGTCACCAGTGTCATCCTTGTCATTGATGCCACTCCAGCCCTTGGTGTCACCATGGTCACCAGTGTCATCTTTGTTGGTGCCACTCCAGCCCTTGGTGTCACCATTGTCACCGGTGTCATCCTTGTCATTGTTGCCACTCCAGCCCTTGGTGTCATCATGGTTGCCGATGTCATCCTTGTTGATGCCACTCCAGCCTTTCATGTCACCATTGTCACCGGTGTCATCCTTGTTGGTGTCACTCCAGCCCTTGGTGTCATCATTGTCACCAGTGTCATCGTTGTTGATGCCATTCCAGCTCTTCATGTCACCATTGTCACCAGTGTCATCCTTGTCATTGATGCCCCTTGAGCCTTTGGTGTCACCACGGTCACCAGTGTCATCCTTGTTGATGCCACTCCAGCCCTTCATGCCACCCTTGTCACCGGTGTCATCCTTGTTGATGCCACTCCAGCCCTTCATGCCACCCTTGTCACCAGTGTCATCCTTGTTGATGCCACTCCAGCCCTTCATGCCACCCTTGTCACCAGTGTCATCCTTGTTGATGCCACTCCAGCCCTTCATGCCACCCTTGTCACCAGTGTCATCCTTGTTGATGCCACTCCAGCCCTTCATGCCACCATTGTCACCGGTGTCATCATTGTTGATGCCACTCCAGCCTTTCATGTCACCCTTGTCACCGGTGTCATCGTTGTTGGTGCCACTCCAGGCCATGATGTCATCATTGTCACCAGTGTCATCCTTGTCATTGATGCCACTCCACCCTTTGGTGTCACCGTGGTCACCGGTGTCATCCTTGTTGATGCCACTCCAGCCCTTCATGTCACCATTGTCACCGGTGTCATCGTTGTTGGTGTCACTCCAGGCCTTGGTGTCACCGTGGTCACCAGTGTCATCCTTGTCATTGATGCCACTCCAGCCTTTCATGTCACCATTGTCACCAGTGTCATCCTTGTTGATGCCACTCCAGCCCTTGGTGTCACCCTTCTCACCAGTGCCACACTTGTCACAGATGTCACCAAAGCTGTCAATCTCATCACTTGTGTCACTCTTGTCGTGTCACCTTTGTCACCTTTGTAGTCATTGTTGTCATTCTTGTCGTTGGTGGCACCGTTGTCACTGGTGTCACACTTGTCACTGGTGTCACTCTTGCCATTGGCATCACCCTTATCACTGCCATCATTGCCGCTGGTGTCACCCTTGTCCCTAGTGTCACCTTTGTCACCAGTGTCACCGCTGTCATTGGTGTCCCCCTTGTCCCTAGTGTCACCCTTGTAACAGGCGTCACTGTTGTCACAGATGTCACTCTGGTCACCAGCGTCACCCTTTACCAGTGGTGTCACCCCCCAGAGCCACAGTTGCCACCAGGGTGGCGCAGATGCGGCGCACGGGGGCACCTCAGCGACACTCTCAGTGCTGTCCCCTCTGTGTCCTGGGTTGTCCCTGTCCCTCCCCATTGTCCCTTGTCCCCACAGACCAAGCTGAACGAGGACTTCACTGTGAAAGCAGAGGGCACGGGGAAGGGGACAATGACAGTGGTGACCGTCTACAACGCCAAGGTGCCCGAGACTGAAAACAAGTGTGACAACTTTGACCTGCGGGTCAGCGTGGAGGACGTGAAGACGGGTGAGTCCCCATCTGTCCCCTGACCTGTCCCCCACGAGTCCCCTTCTTGTTCCTATTCTGTCCCCCAGCATCTCCTCCACGTCCTCGTGTCCCCTTCCATGTGTCTCATGTCACCCAAATAATTCCATGTCCCCATGTCCCTCTTCAATCCTTCTCTACGTCTCCGTGTCCCCACGTCCCTCCATGTCCCTCTGTCCCACCAGATCCCCATGTCCCTCCATGTCCCTCCATGTCCCCATATCCCTCCATGTCCCCATGTCCCCATGTCCCCATATCCCTCCATGTCCCCATGTCCCCATGTCCCACCATGTCCCCATATCCCACCATGTCCCCATATCCCACCATGTCCCCATGTCCCACCATGTCCTCATATCCCTCCATGTCCCCACGTCCTTCCATGTCCCCATATCCCTCCATGTCCCCATATCCCCATGTCCCCACGTCCTTCCATGTCCCCATATCCCTCCATGTCCCCATGTCCCACCATGTCCCCATGTCCCACCATGTCCTCATATCCCACCATGTCCCCACGTCCTTCCATGTCCCCATATCCCTCCATGTCCCCACACCCCATCAGATCTCCATGTCCTCCAGATTCCCGTGTCCCACCATGTTCCCATGTCCCTCCATGTCCCCATGTCCCTCTGTGTCCCTCCACATCCCTCCACGTCCCCATGTCCCACCACGTCCCCATGTCCCTCCATGTCCCCATACCCCATCATATCTCCATACCCCTCCAGTTCCCCATGTCCCTCCATGTCTCCATGTCCCTCTATGTCCCTCCACATCCCTCTACGTCCCCATGTTCCACCTGATCCTCATGTCCCTCCACATCCCTCCACGTCCCCATGTCCCTCCATGTCCCCATGACCCTTCTGGTCCCCCCGGTTTCTCCTGTTTCTGTCCCCTGATGTCCCACATGGGTAGCAGCACCATCCTTATGTCCCTTCACAGCCCGGCAGCTGGAAGGTGCCATCCGTTCTGTCAAGATCACCATCTGCACCAGGTGGGACACGATGGGGACATCAGCGATGTTTGGGACATCGGGGACATTGTAGGGAGGGAGAGCTCACTGTGGGCAGGGACCTGGGAGATGGGGAAGGGAATGGGGTTGTTGGGGACAGGGACATGGGAGAGAGGGGATGTAATGGGGTTGTTGGGGACAGGGACATGGGAGATGGGGGATGTAATGGGGTTGTTGGGGACAGGGACATGGGAGATGGGAGATGTAATGGGGTTGTTGGGGACAGGGACATGGGAGATGGGGAAGGGAATGGGGTTGTTGGGGACAGGGACATGGGAGATGGGGAAGGGAATGGGGTTGTTGGGGACAGGGACATGGGAGATGGGGAAGGGAATGGGGTTGTTGGGGACAGGGACATGGGAGATGGGGAAGGGAATGGGGTTGTTGGGGACAGGGACATGGGAGATGGGGGATGTAATGGGGTTGTTGGGGACAGGGACATGGGAGAGAGGGGATGTAATGGGGTTGTTGGGGACAGGGACATGGGAGAGAGGGGATGTAATGGGGTTGTTGGGGACAGGGACATCAGGAATGAGGATGGGGACACGGAGACAAAGAAGACTCAGCTCCACTCGTCCCTCGGGGATTTGTGGGAACGGGGACATCGGGGACGGGGATGCTGGGAGCAATGGGGACAGTGGGGCTGTAGAGGATATTGGGGACAGGCAGGTGGCCTCAGCCCTGTGCCTGCAGGTTCCTGGACACCGTGGATGCCACCATGTCCATCCTCGACATCTCCATGCTCACCGGCTTCTCCCCTGACGTCCAGGACCTGAAGAGTGTGAGTATGGGGCCGTAGGGACGTGTGGGGACACCAGGGGGCACGAGGCCATGCATCGCTGTGCCATCACGTCCCCTGTGTCCCCATGTGTGTCCCCATGTGTGTCCCCCTATACCTCTGTCTCTCCCGTGTCCTCGTGTTGTCACTGTGTCCCCATACCCCCACCACCAGCTCTCAGAGGGAGTGGAGAGGTACATTTCCAAATTTGAGATCGACCACTCGCTGTCCAACCGCAGCAACCTCATCATCTACCTGGATAAGGTGAGGACAGGGGGGGACGTGGGGGACTTGGGGACGGGGACGAGATGGGATGGGATGGGATGGGATGGGATGGGATGGGATGGGATGGGAATGGAAATGGGATGGGGTGGGATGGGGTGGGATGGGAATGGGGTGGGGTGGGATGGGATGGGATGGGATGGGATGGGAATGGGGTGGGATGGGATGGGAATGGGGTGGGATGGGATGGGATGGGATGGGGTGGGATGGGATGGGAATGGGATGGGATGGGATGGGATGGGGTGGGGTGGGATGGGGTGGAATGGGGTGGGTTGGGGTGGGATGGGATGGGATGGGATGGGATGGGGTGGGATGGGGTGGAATGGGGTGGGATGGGATGGGATGGGATGGGATGGGATGGGATGGGATGGGATGGGATGGGGAAAGGGACGTGGGACAGGAGACCCCAGTGGCACGGGGTGGGGATGAAGGTGAGGTGGGATGGGTTGGCATTGGAGACAGAGAGGAGGATGGGACAATATGGAGGTGGGGACAATGGGGGGAGAGGGAGAAGAAATGGTTCAGATCCAAGTTGGGCAGGGACAGAGATGGAGTTGGGGACAAGGTGTGAGTAGGGGGGGGAACGGGGATGGTGACAAATGGGGACGCAGGTGGAGATGGGAATGGAGACAAGGATGGAGATGGGAATGGGGACATGGATGGAGATGGGAATGGAGACGGAGATGGGAATGGGGACGTGGGGACATGGATGGAGATGGGAGTGGGGATGTGGGGACATGGATGGAGATGGGAGTGGGGATGTGGGGACATGGATGGAGATGGGAATGGGGACATGGGGACAAGGATGGAGATGGGAGTGGAGACAGATGGAGATGGGAGTGGGGTCGTGGGGACATGGATGGAGATGGGAATGGGGACATGGATGAAGATGGGAATGGAGACAGATGGAGATGGGAATGGGGATGTGGGGACATGGATGGAGATGGGAATGGGGATGTGGGGACAAGGATGGAGATGGAGTTGGGGACATGGGGACAAGGATGGAGATGGGAATGGAGACATGGGGACATGGATGGAGATGGGAAGGGGATGTGGGGCATGGATGGAGATGGGAATAGAGACATGGGTGAAGATGGGAATGGAGACAGATGGAGATGGGAGTGGGGACGTGGGGACATGGATGGAGATGGGAATGGGGATGTGGGGCATGGATCGAGATGGAAATGGAGACATGGATGGAGATGGGAGTGGGGATGTGGGGACATGGATGGAGATGGGAATGGGGACATGGGAACGGATGAAGATGGGAATGGAGACAGATGGGAATGGGGACATGGGGGTATGGATGGAGATGGGAATGGGGATGATGACTGGCTATGGGGTGAGGACGTGGTGTCACTGCCTTCTGTCCCCATCCCACATCTTGGTGTCCTGTGCGCAGATCTCCCACCAAGTGGAGGAGTGCATCGCCTTCAGGGCCCACCAGCACTTCCAGGTGGGACTGATCCAGCCTGCCTCCGTCAGTGTCTACAGCTACTACAAGATCGGTGTGTCCCCGGGTCCCTTCTTGTCCCCTCATGTCACCCCCGGGGTCCCGCAAAGCCCATCTGTCCCGTGTGTGAGGTTTGGTGTCACCCAGATGGGTTGGGATCATCCAAGGGTGTCCTTGGGGACCCCATGAGGTTTGGTGTCACCCAAAATGGTTTGGGGACACCCAAGGGTGCTTGGGCACACCATGAGGTTTGGTGTCACCCAGGTGGGTTGGGGACACCATGAGGTTTGATGTCACCCAGGACTGGGGACACCCAAGGGTGCTTGGGCACACCATGAGGTTTGGTGTCACCCAGGTGGGTTGGGGACACCATGAGGTTTGATGTCACCCAGGGCTGGGGACACCCCGGTGGGCTGGGGACACCCAAGGGTGCTTGGGCACACCATGAGGTTTGGTGTCACCCAGGTGAGTTGGGGACACCATGAGGTTTGGTGTCACCCAGGTGGGTTGGGGACACCATGAGGTTTGATGTCACCCAGGTGGGTTGGGGACACCATGAGGTTTGATGTCACCCAGGTGGGTTGGGGACACCATGAGGTTTGGTGTCACCCAGGTGAGTTGGGGACACCATGAGGTTTGGTGTCACCCAGGTGGGTTGGGGACACCATGAGGTTTGATGTCACCCAGGTGGGTTGGGGACACCATGAGGTTTGGTGTCACCCAGGTGGGTTGGGGACACCATGAGGTTTGATGTCACCCAGGTGGGTTGGGGACACCATGAGGTTTGGTGTCACCCAGGGCTGGGGACACCCAAGGGTTCTTGGGCACACAATGAGGTCATCCAAGGGTGCCCTTGGGGACATTCCCTCTGCCTCCTCCTGTCCCTGATGACTGCCACCCCACTGCCCCCATGTCCCACCTTTCCCTATTTCCCCATCCACGCCCCTATGCCCCCACACGCTTTTTGGTGACCCTCTCCCTTCACGTCCCCCTTTGTCCCCCTGTCATCTCCTCCGTGTCCCCTCACATTCCCCACGTCCCCACAGATGACCGCTGCACTCGCTTCTACCACCCGGACAAGGATGGTGGGCAGCTGAGGAAGATCTGCCATGGGGATGTGTGCCGCTGTGCTGAAGGTGACAAGGGGGCACAGGGACGTGGGGACAGAGGCCGTCCCCTCCCATATGTCCCACGCCACCCATTTTCCCTGTCCCCAAATTCTCCCCTGTCCCCCCATCCCCACCTCGGTCTCCAATCCTTCTCTATGCCTCCATGCGTCGGGACATGTCACCGCCACGACGGGGGACGCGTGGCTGTTGTCGTGGGACATGTCACTGTCACGATTGGACGCGTCGCTGTCGTGACAGGGAATGTCATTGCCCTGTCCCTGTGTGCCTACAGAAAACTGCTTCATACGACAGAAGAAGGACAATCCCACCACAGTCAACGAGCGCATCGATCTTGCCTGCAAGCCAGGGGTGGATTATGGTGAGACACGGGGACATGGGGACATGGGGACATGGGGACATGGGGGCATGGGGACATGGGGACATGGGGACATGGGGACACGGGGGCATGGGGACATGGGGAAATGGGGACACGGGGGCATGGGGACATGGGGGCATGGGGACATGGAGACATGGGGGCATGGGGACATGGGGAAATGGGGGCATGGGGGCATGGGGACACGGGGGCATGGGGGCATGGGGACATGGGGGCATGGGGACATGGGGGCATGGGGACATGGGGACGTGGGGGCATGGGGACATGGAGACATGGGGACATGGGGACATGGGGACATGGGGGCATGGAGACATGGGGACACGGGGACATGGGGACATGGGGACATGGGGGCATGGGGACATGGGGACATGGGGACATGGGGACATGGGGACACGGGGGCATGGGGACATGGGGACATGGGGACACGGGGGCATGGGGACATGGGGAAATGGGGACACGGGGGCATGGGGACATGGGGGCATGGGGACATGGAGACATGGGGGCATGGGGACATGGGGAAATGGGGGCATGGGGGCATGGGGACACGGGGGCATGGGGGCATGGGGACATGGGGGCATGGGGACATGGGGGCATGGGGACATGGGGACGTGGGGGCATGGGGACATGGAGACATGGGGACATGGGGACATGGGGACATGGGGGCATGGAGACATGGGGACATGGGGGCATGGGGACATGGGGACATGGAGACATGGGGGCATGGGGACATGGAGACATGGGGACATGGGGACATGGGGACATGGGGACATGGGGACAAGGGGGACATGGGGGCATGGGGACATGGGGACATGGGGGCATGGGGACATGGGGGCATGGGGGCATGGGGACATGGGGACATGGGGGCATGGGGACATGGGGACATGGGGGCATGGGGGCATGGAGACATGGGGGCATGGGGGCATGGGGACATGGGGACATGGGGGCATGGGGGCATGGGGACATGGAGACATGGGGGCATGGGGACATGGGGACATGGGGACATGGAGACATGGGGACATGGGGACATGGGGACATGGGGACATGGGGACAAGGGGGCATGGGGGCATGGGGACATGGGGACATGGGGGCATGGGGACATGGGGGCATGGGGGCATGGGGACATGGGGACATGGGGGCATGGGGACATGGGGACATGGGGGCATGGGGGCATGGAGACATGGGGGCATGGGGGCATGGGGACATGGGGACATGGGGGCATGGGGGCATGGGGACATGGAGACATGGGGGCATGGGGACATGGGGACATGGGGACATGGAGACATGGGGACATGGGGACATGGGGGCATGGGGACATGGGGACATGGGGGCATGGGGACAAGGGGGCATGGGGGCATGGGGACATGGGGACATGGGGACATGGGGACATGGGGGCATGGGGACATGGGGACATGGGGGCATGGGGGCATGGGGACATGGGGACATGGGGACATGGGGGCATGGGGACATGCGGACATGGGGGCATGGGGACATGGGGGCATGGGGACATGGGGACATGGGGGCATGGGGACATGGGGACATGGAGACATGGGGGCATGGGGACATGGGGACATGGGGACATGGAGACATGGGGACATGGGGACATGGGGACATGGGGACATGGGGACATGGGGACATGGGGGCATGGGGACATGGAGACATGGGGGCATGGGGACACGGGGACATGGGGGCATGGGGACAGGTGGCAAGGGAATGGAGGATTATGGGGACAAAATGATAGGGGACGTCGTTGGGGTGAGGAGGGGGATGCGAAGGGCCGCGGAAGGACGTGAGCGGGCAGTGGGACGGCAGAGAGGAGTAGGGGAGGAAGAAAGGGGCAAAAAGGGCCGCGAGGAGGAAAAGGGGGGACAGTGGGGACAGCCGCGAGGTGGTGACACGGTGACATCCCCCCTCCCCAGTGTACAAAGTGAAGGTGGTGGCGACAGAGGAGACGTCGTCCCACGACAACTACGTCATGAACATCCTCTCCGTCATCAAGATGGGTACGAGCACCCCGGGGACAGGGGACAAGGTCACCTGGAGGGACCTGGCAGTGTCACCCAGGGCTGGGGACGCCCCGATGGGCTGGGGACACCCAAGGGTGCTTGGGGACACCGTGAGGTTTTATGTCACCCAAAATGGTCTGGGGACACCATGAGGTTTGGTGTCACCCAGGTGAGTTGGGGACACCACAAGGTTTGATGTCACCCAAAATGGTTGGGGACACCACGAGGTTTGGCGTCACCCAAAATGGTCTGGGGACACTCAAGTGTGCTTGGGGACACCGTGAGGTTTGGTGTCACCCAGGGCTGGGGACACCCCAGTGGGCTGGGACACCCAAGGGTGCTTGGGGACACCATGAGGTTTGATGTCACCCAAATTGGTTTGGGGACACTCAAGTGTGCTTGGGGACACCATGAGGTCTGGTGTCACCCAGGTGAGTTGGGATCATCCAAGGGTCCTTGGGGACACCATGAGGTTTGATGTCACCCAAATTGGTTTGGGGACACCATGAGGTTTGATGTCACCCAAAATGCTTGGGGAACGCCTTGAGGTTTGGTGTCACCCAAAATGGTCTGGGGACACCCAAGTGAGCTTGGGGACACCATGAGGTTTGGTGTCACCCAGGGCTGGGGACACTCTGGTGGGCTGGGACACCCAAGGGTGCTTGGGGACACTGTGAGGTTTGGTGTCACCCAGGTGGGTTGGGATCATCCAAGGGTCCTTGGGGACCCCATGAGGTTTGATGTCACCCAAATTGTTTTGGGGACACCATGAGGTTTGGTGTCACCCAAAATGGTCTGGGGACACCCAAGTGTGCTTGGGGACACCACGAGGTTTGGTGTCACCCAGGGCTGGGGACACCCCGGTGGGCTGGGAACACCCAAGGGTGCTTGGGGACACCATGAGGTTTGATGTCACCCAAAATGGTTTGGGGACACCATGAGGTTTGATGTCACCCAAAATGGTCTGGGGACACCCAAGGGTGCTTGAGGACACCATGAGGTTTGGTGTCACACAGGTGAGCTGGGGACACCCTGGTGGGCTGGGGGCACCCAAGGGTGCTTGGGGACACCGTGAGGTTTGGTGTCACCCAGGTGAGTTGGGATCATCCAAGGGTCCTTGGGGACCCCATGAGGTTTGGTGTCACCCAAATTGGTTTGGGGACACCATGAGGTTTGGTGTCACCCAAAATGGTCTGGGGACACCCAAGTGTGCTTGGGGACACCACGAGGTTTGGTGTCACCCAGGGCTGGGGACACCCTGGTGGGCTGGGACACCCAAGGGTCCTTGGGTACACCATGAGGTTTGGTGTCACCCAGGTGAGTTGGGATCATCCAAGGGTCCTTGGGGACACCATGAGGTTTGATGTCACCCAAATTGGTTTGGGGACACCATGAGGTTTGATGTCACCCAAAATGCTTGGGGAACGCCTTGAGGTTTGGTGTCACCCAAAATGGTCTGGGGACACCCAAGTGTGCTTGGGGACCCCATGAGGTTTGGTGTCACCCAGGGCTGGGGACACTCTGGTGGGCTGGGACACCCAAGGGTGCTTGGGGACACTGTGAGGTTTGGTGTCACCCAGGTGGGTTGGGATCATCCAAGGGTCCTTGGGGACCCCATGAGGTTTGATGTCACCCAAATTGGTTTGGGGACACCATGAGGTTTGGTGTCACCCAAAATGGTCTGGGGACACCCAAGTGTGCTTGGGGACACCACGAGGTTTGGTGTCACCCAGGGCTGGGGACACCCTGGTGGGCTGGGACACCCAAGGGTCCTTGGGCACACCGTGAAGTTTGGCGTCACCCAGATGGGTTGGGGACACCCAAAGGTGCTTGAGGACACCATGAGGTTTGGTGTCACCCAGGTGAGCTGGGGACACCCTGGTGGGCTGGGGGCACCCAAGGGTGCTTGGGGACACTGTGAGGTTTGGTGTCACCCTGGTGGGTTGGGATCATCCAAGGGTCCTTGAGGACACCATGAGGTTTGGTGTCACCCAGGGCTGGGGACACCCTGATGGGCTGGGGACACACAAGAGTGCTTGGGGACACTGTGAGGTTTGGTGTCACCCAGACGGGTTGGGGACACCCAAGGGTGCTTGGTGAACATCTGGAATGAACTGGTGAACTGGTGCCACCCGCCGCTGGTGACAACAGAGGGGTGATGACACCCAGGGGTGGTGACAACAATGGGACGATGTCCCCAAAGATGCCCATAGCTCCTGGGACCGGGGGTTCCTCATTGCGGAAGGTGTCACAGCGGGTGTTCCTGCCGTGTTGGGGTGGCAATGTCACCTGTGTCACCTCTCCCTGGGACAGGCACCGACGAGGACCCACTTGGGAGCAACAGGACCTTCGTGAGCCACAAGCAGTGCAGGGACGCGCTGAGCCTCCAGAAGGGACAGGAATACCTGGTGTGGGGGCTGGCGTCCGACCTGTGGGTCACTGGCAGCCGGTAGGGACAGGGGGACGTGGGGACGTGGGGACACGGGGGCATGGGGACATGAAAACATGGGGACGTGGGAGTGAGGGGACATGGGGACATGGGGACATGGGGATGTGGAGGTGTGAAGACATGGGGGCATGGGGGCATGAAGACATGGGGACGTGGGAGTGAGGGGACATGGGGACATGGGGACATGGGGACGTGGGAGTGAGGGGACATGGGGACATGGGGACATGAAGACATGGGGACATGGGAGCATGAAGACATGGGGATGTGGGGCTGAGGGGACATGGGGACATGGGGACGTGGGGGTGTGAAGACATGGGGGTGTGAAGACATGGGGGCATGGGGACATGGGGACATGGGGACATGAAGACATGGGGACGTGGGGACGTACGGACACACGGACATGAGAGTATGAAGGCATGGGGACATGATGACGTAGGGACATGGGGACATGGGGACATGAAGACATGGGGACAGGGGGACACAGGGACATGGGGACATGAAGACAAGGGGACATGAAAACACAGGGGCATGGGGACATGGGGACATGGAGACATAGGGACATGAAGACATGGGGATGTGGGGACATACGGACATGAGAGCATGAAGGCATGGGGACATGATGACGTAGGGACATGGGGACATGGGGGCATGGGGACATGGGGACATGGGGACACAGGGACGTGGGGGTGTGAAGACATGGGGACATGGGGACATGGGGACATGAAAACAAGGGGACATGAAAACACAGGGGCATGGGGATATGGGGACACGGGGACACGAGGACAAAGGGACACGATGACAAAGGGACTTGGGGACACAGGGATGTGGGGACATGCAGACACGGGGACACGGGGACATGGGGACACGATGACAAAGGGACATGGGGACACAGGGATGTGGGGACACAGGGACACGGGGACGTTGCCGCCCGACGTGCATTCACACCTCAATGCACCCCGAGCTTCTCCAGCGTCTCGTTTAGGGTTGTGCGCCCCTCACCGCCAGCCCCTTCCTGACCCCGTTGTCCCCTGCTGTCCCCTGCTGTCCCCTGCTGTCCCCAGCTTCTCCTACCTCATCGGCAAGGACACGTGGCTGGAAGCCTGGCCCTTGGAGGAGTCGTGCCAGGACCCGGACCTGCAGTCGCTCTGCCAGGACTTCATCGAGTTCTCCGAGGCCATGACCATGTTTGGGTGCCCCACCTGATGGGGTGTCACCTTCCCCCCCATGGGGTGTCCCCTCCCCTCCCCCCGCCCCCCCCCCGATGTCACAGACCCTTTTTTCTTTCTTTTTTTTTTGAATTTTGTGGAGTGGGGGCGATTTAAAAACGTGTCCTTTCTGAAATTCTGCCTCTGGGCGCAGCGTGGGGACGTGGGGACATTGGGGGACAACGTGGGGGGGACAACGGGGACATCGCAGAGTCCAGTAGGGGGGCGAGGATGTCGGCGGTGTCCTGGGGACGTCACAGGGGAGGGGGGGGTGTGAGGATTCAATAGGGGATGATGGGGTGATGGGGACACCAGGGGGGACATTGGGGACAGCACAGAGGACATGGGGTGTCCTTAGGGGATGATGGGGTCATGGGGACACCAGGGGGGACATTGGGGACAGCATAGAGGACATGGGGTGTCCTTAGGGGATGATGGGGTCATGGGGGACACCAGGGGGGACATTGGGGACAACACAGAGGACATGGGGTGTCCTTAGGGGATGATGGGGACATGGGGACAGCAGGGGGGACAATGGGGACAACACAGAGGACATGGGGTGTCCTTAGGGGATGATGGGGTGATGGGGACAACAGGAGGGACATTGGGGACAACACAGAGGACATGGGGTGTCCTTAGGGGATGATGGGGACATGGGGACACCAGGGGGGACAATGGGGACAACACAGAGGACATGGGGTGTCCTTAGGGGATGATGGGGTGATGGGGACACCAGGGGGGACAATGGGGACAGCACAGAGGACATGGGGTGTCCTTAGGGGATGATGGGGACATGGGGACACCAGGGCGGACAATGGGGACAACACAGAGGACATGGGGTGTCCTAAGGGGATGATGGGGTCATGGGACACCAGAGGGGACATTGGGGACAGCACAGAGGACATGGGGTGTCCTTAGGGGATGATGGGGTCATGGGGACAACAGGGGGGACATTGGGGACAGCACAGAGGACATGGGGTGTCCTTAGGGGATGATGGGGTCATGGGGACAACAGGGGGGACACTGGGGACAGCACAGAGGACATGGGGTGTCCTTAGGGGATGATGGGGTCATGGGGACACCAGGGGGACATTGGGGACAGCACAGAGGACATGGGGTGTCCTTAGGGGATGATGGGGACATGGGGACAACAGGGAGGACAATGGGGACAGCACAGAGGACATGGGGTGTCCTTAGGGGCTGATGGGGTCATGGGGACACCAGGGGGGACAATGGGGACAACACAGAGGACATGGGGTGTCCTTAGGGGATGATGGGGACATGGGGACAACAGGGGGGACAATGGGGACAACACAGAGGACATGGGGTGTCCTTAGGGGATGATGGGGTCATGGGGACAACAGGGGGGACATTGGGGACAACACAGAGGACATGGGGTGTCCTTAGGGGATGATGGGGTCATGGGGACAACAGGGGGGACAACAGGGGGGACAACACAGAGGACATGGGGTGTCCTTAGGGGATGATGGGGTCATGGGGACACCGGAGGGGACAATGGGGACAACACAGAGGACATGGGGTGTCCTTAGGGGATGATGGGGTCATGGGGACACCAGGGGGGACATTGGGGACAACACAGAGGAGATGGGGTGTCCTTAGGGGATGATGGGGTCATGGGGACACCAGGGGGACATTGGGGACAGCATAGAGGACATGGAGTGTCCTTAGGGGATGATGGGGACATGGGGACACCAGGGGGGACAATGGGGACAGCATAGAGGACATGGGGTGTCCTTAGGGGATGATGGGGTCATGGGGGACACCAGGGGGGACATTGGGGACAGCACAGAAGACATGGGGTGTCCTTAGGGGATGATGGGGTCATGGGGACACCAGGGGGACATTGGGGACAACACAGAGGACATGGGGTGTCCTTAGGGGATGATGGGGTGATGGGGACATCGGAGGGGACAATGGGGACAGCACAGAGGACATGGGGTGTCCTTAGGGGATGATGGGGACATGGGGACATCGGAGGGGACAATGGGGACAGCACAGAGGACATGGGGTGTCCTTAGGGGATGATGGGGACATGGGGACACCGGAGGGGGACAATGGGGACAACACAGAGGACATGGGGTGTCCTTAGGGGATGATGGGGTCATGGGGACACCGGAGGGGGACAATGGGGACAACACAGAGGACATGGGGTGTCCTTAGGGGATGATGGGGTCATGGGGACACCAGGGGGGACAATGGGGACAACACAGAGGACATGGGGTGTCCTTAGGGGATGATGGGGCCATGGGGACAACAGGGGGGACAATGGGGACAGCACAGAGGACATGGGGTGTCCTTAGGGGATGATGGGGTCATGGGGACAACAGGGGGGACATTGGGGACAACACAGAGGACATGGGGTGCCCTTAGGGGATGATGGGGTCATGGGGACACCAGGGGGGACATTGGGGACAGCATAGAGGACATGGGGTGTCCTTAGGGGATGATGGGGTGATGGGGACACCAAGGGGGACATTGGGGACAGCATAGAGGACATGGAGTGTCCTTAGGGGATGATGGGGTCATGGGGACAACAGGGGGGACATTGGGGACAACACAGAGGACATGGGGTGTCCTTAGGGGATGATGGGGTCATGGGGACAACAGGGGGGACATTGGGGACAGCACAGAGGACATGGGGTGTCCTTAGGGGATGATGGGGTCATGGGGACACCAGAGGGGACAATGGGGACAGCACAGAGGACATGGGGTGTCCTTAGGGGATGATGGGGACATGGGGACACCAGGGGGGACAATGGGGACAGCAGAGAGGACATGGGGTGTCCTTAGGGGATGATGGGGTCATGGGGACACCAGGGGGGACATTGGGGACAGCACAGAGGACATGGGGTGTCCTTAGGGGATGATGGGGTCATGGGGACACCAGGGGGGACATTGGGGACAACACAGAGGACATGGGGTGTCCTTAGGGGATGATGGGGACATGGGGACACCAGGGGGGACAATGGGGACAGCACAGAGGACATGGGGTGTCCTAAGGGGATGATGGGGTCATGGGGACAACAGGGGGGACATTGGGGACAGCACAGAGGACATGGGGTGTCCTTAGGGGATGATGGGGTCATGGGGACAACAGGGGGGACAATGGGGACAGCACAGAGGACATGGGATGTCCTTAGAGGATGATGGGGTCATGGGGACACCGGAGGGGACACTGGGGACAACACAGAGGACATGGGGTGTCCTTAGGGGATGATGGGGTCATGGGGACACCAGGGGGGACATTGGGGACAGCACAGAGGACATGGGGTGTCCTTAGGGGATGATGGGGTCATGGGGACACCAGGGGGGACATTGGGGACAGCACAGAGGACTTCAACCCCGCTTCGGAGAGCCATAAATAAGTTTATTAATTAATAAATAAAGTGACAATAATTTAAGGGGGGGGGGAGAAGGAGGGGGGACCCCCCTCCAGACCAGCTGGGGGGGGAGGGTTTAGCAGGGACCCCCAGGCATGGAGGGGGTCCCGAACTGGGGGGGGGGGGGGGGGGGTGGTTCCACGGTCCCTGATGTCCCCAAAATGGGAACCTGTGATGTCCCCAATATCCAGCATGGGGAGCGGCTGCGGGGCGCCTCGTTGTCCCCAAATTCTCTGAGCCGGGGGGGGGGGGGGGGCTGAAATGTCCCTTGATGTCCCCAAATCTCCGGATGTAGAGGTCACCGTTGTCCCCAAAAGGCCAGTTGGTGGACCCAGGTCTTCGGACATAGAGGTCGATGATGTCCCCTGATGTCCCCATATCTTTGGTCAATGATGTCCCCAAATCTCCACACATTGGGGTCTCAGGACCCACATCTCCTGACACGGAGGTCAACGACGTCCCCTGATGTCCCCAAATCTCTGGGCATTGGGATCTTGGGACCCAAATCTCCAGGCACGGAGGTCGTGTCCCCTGATGTCCCCAAATCTTTGGACACGTGGGTCCTGGGACCCAAACACACAGCCAAGGAGTTGGCGATGTCCCCTGATGTCCCCAAATCTCTGGGCATTGGGATCTTGGGACTCCAATCTCCAGCCACGGAGCTCAGCAATGTCCCCTGATGTCCCCAAATCTTTGGACATGGAGGTCAATGATGTCCCCAAATCTCCACATATTGGGGTCTCAGGACCCACATCTCCAGGGCAACGATGTCTCTTGATGTCCCCAAATCTTTGGACACGGAGGTCAACGATGTCCCCAAATCTCCACACATTGGGGTCTCAAGACCCACATCTCCAGCCATGGAGCTCAGCGACGTCCCCTGATGTCCCCAAATCTTTGGACACGGAGGTCAACGATGTCTCTCGATGTCCCCAAATCTTTGGAGACAGAGGTCAACGATGTCCCCAGATGTCCACATTTGGGGTCTCAAGACCCACATCTCCAGCCATGGAGCTCAGCGACGTCCCCTGATGTCCCCAAATCTCTGGGCATTGGGATCTTGGGACTCCAATCTCCAGGCACGGAGCTCAGCGATGTCCCCTGATGTCCCCAAATCTTTGGACACGGAGGTCAACGATGTCCCCAAATCTCCACATATTGGGGTCTCAGGACCCACATCTCCAGGGCAACGATGTCTCTTGATGTCCCCAAATTTCTGGACATGGAGGTCAATGATGTCCCCTGATGTCCCCAAATCTTTGGAGAGAGAGGTCAAAGGTGTCCCCAAATCTCCACACATTGGGGTCTCAGGACCCATATCTCCAGCCACGGAGGTCAATGACATCCCCTGATGTCCCCAAATCTCTGGGCATTGGGATCTTGGGACTCCAATCTCCAGGCACGGAGGTCAACAGTGTCCCCTGATGTCCCCAAATCTCTGGACACGGAGGTCAACGATGTCCCCAAATCTCCACACATTGGGGTCTCAGGACCCACATCTCCAGGCACGGAGCTCAGCGACGTCCCCTGATGTCCCCAAATCTTTGGACACGGAGGTCAACGATGTCTCTTGATGTCCCCAAATTTCTGGACACGGAGCTCAGCGATGTCCCCAAATCTTTGGAGACAGAGGTCAACGATGTCCCCAGATGTCCACATTTGGGGTCTCAAGACCCACATCTCCAGCCACGGAGGTCAACAGTGTCCCCTGATGTCCCCAAATCTCTGGACACGGACGTCAATGATGTCCCCAAATCTCCACACATTGGGGTCTCAAGACCCACATCTCCAGGCACGGAGCTCAGCGACGTCCCCTGATGTCCCCAAATCTCTGGGCATTGGGATCTTGGGACCCCAATCTCCAGGCACGGAGGTCAACAGTGTCCCTTGATGTCCCCAAATCTCTGGACACGGAGGTCAACGATGTCCCCAAATCTCCACATTTGGGGTCTCAAGACCCACATCTCCAGGCACGGAGCTCAGCGACGCCCCCTGATGTCCCCAAATCTTTGGACACGGATGTCAACGATGTCTCTTGATGTCCCCAAATCTCTGGACACGGAGCTCAGCGATGTCCCCAAATCTTTGGAGACAGAGGTCAACGATGTCCCCAGATGTCCACATTTGGGGTCTCAAGACCCACATCTCCAGGCACGGAGGTCAGCGACGTCCCCTGATGTCCCCAGATCTTTGGACACGGAGGTCAACGATGTCCCCTGATGTCCCCAAATCTTTGGACACGGAGCTCAGTGACGTCCCCTGATGTCCCCAGATCTTTGGACACGGAGGTCAACGATGTCTCTTGATGTCCCCAAATCTTTGGAGACAGAGGTCAATGATGTCCCCAGATGTCCACATTTGGGGTCTCAAGACCCACATCTCCAGCCACGGAGGTCAACAGTGTCCCCTGATGTCCCCAAATCTCTGGACACGGAGGTCAATGATGTCCCCAAATCTCCACACATTGGGGTCTCAAGACCCACATCTGCAGCCATGGAGCTCAGCGACGTCCCCTGATGTCCCCAAATCTCTGGGCATTGGGATCTTGGGACCCCAATCTCCGGCCACGGAGGTCAGCAGTGTCCCCTGATGTCCCCAAATCTCTGGACACGGAGGTCAACGATGTCCCCAGATGTCCACATTTGGGGTCTCAAGACCCACATCTCCAGCCATGGAGCTCAGCGACGTCCCCTGATGTCCCCAAATCTCTGGGCATTGGGATCTTGGGACTCCAATCTCCGGCCACGGAGGTCAGCAGTGTCCCCTGATGTCCCCAAATCTTTGGACACGGATGTCAATGATGTCCCCAAATTTCTGGACACGGAGCTCAGCGATGTCCCCAAATCTTTGGAGACAGAGGTCAACGATGTCCCCAGATGTCCACATTTGGGGTCTCAGGACCCACATCTCCAGCCCCGGAGCTCAGCGACGCCCCCTGACGTCCCCAGATCTCCAGACGTGGGGCTCTTGGGACCCAGATCTCCACTCACAAACATCATCAGCGTCCCCCGACGTCCCCAAAATCTCCGGCCATCGGGACCCCAAACACCTCCAGTCACAAAGGCCGGCGACGTCCCTTGACGCCTTCGCCCCCCATCCCTTCCAGTCCCCCCCCTTCGCGCTCCTCTTCCGCCCCATGGCGCCTCGGGGGGGGGGGGGGGGGGCAGCCCCCCACTCCTCACCCCCTTGTTGCGATGCGCAGCAGCCCCACGAAATTTCCTTCCCTCTCGTCCTGCGCCATCTGCCACTCGTCCCCTTGGATGTCCCCAACCATCCTAAAGCTGAGGACGTCGCCGGGTCGCAGCTGCCCCACTGCCTGCGTCAAACCCGAACGAGTCGGGCCGGATCCGGAACCGTCGGGTAACACCAAGGGTACGGCCAGCAAGGGATGGGGGGAACCGGCGCGGTGCAGCTGGAGGGTGACGTTGCCGGGGGGACAAGAGGTGGCCGTGCAGGTGACAGCAAATTGGCCATAGAGGAGGTAGAGGCCCCCCGACGCCACCTGCAGCCCCTGGGCTGTGGCCCGAACGTCGCCGCTGAGGAAGACTCCGTTGATGCCTTCTTCGTAGCGCCAGTCGGGTCCAGAGGGAACGGCCAGGGAGGCTGGGGGAGGAGATGGGGGGGGAATGGGGGTCAGGAGGGCAGCGGCGGGGGATGTGGGGGGCAGGGATTGGGGTGAATGGGGTCAGGAGGGCAGCACCAGGGGATGTGGGGGGCAGGGATTGGGGTGAATGGGGTCAGGAGGGCAGCACCAGGGGATGTGGGGGGCAGGGATTGGGGTGAATGGGGTCCTGGTGGCACTGTGAGGGATGCTGCAGGTGGAGATGTGGGGGGAATGGGGGTCAGGAGGGCAGCACCAGGGGATGTGGGGGGCAGGGATTGGGGTGAATGGGGTCAGGAGGGCAGCGGTAGGGGATGTGGGGGGCAGGGATTGGGGTGAATGGGGTCAGGAGGGCAGCAGCAGGAGATGTGGGGCCAGGGGTGTGGGTTTAATGGGGTCCTGATGGCACTGTGAGGGATGCTGTGGGAGGAGATGTGGGGGGAATGGGGGTCAGGAGGGCAGCACCAGGGGATGTGGGGGGCAGGGATTGGGGTGAATGGGGTCAGGAGGGCAGCAGCAGGGGATGTGGGGGGCAAGGATTGGGGTGAATGGGGTCAGGAGGGCAGCACCAGGGGATGTGGGGGGCAGAGATTGGGGTGAAGGGGGTCAGGAGGGCAGCGGCGGGGGATGTGGGGGGCAGGGATTGGAGTGAATGGGGTCAGGAGGGCAGCACCAGGGGATGTGGGGCCAGGGGTGTGGGTTTAATGGGGTCCTGGTGGCACTGTGAGGGAGGCTGCAGGTGGAGATGTGGGGGGAATGGGGTCAGGAGGGCAGCACCAGGGGATGTGGGGGGCAGAGATTGGGATTAATGGGGTCACTGTAAGGGAATGTGGGGGGCAGGGATATGGGGTGACCCTATTAGGAACAGGGCGCTGCCAGGGATATGGGGTGACCCTATTAGGAACAGGGTGCTGCCAGGGTTATGGGGTGACCCTATTAGGAACAGGGTGCTACCAGGGCTATGGGGTGACCCTATTAGGAACAGGGCGCTGCCAGGGATATGGGGTGACCCTATTAGGAACAGATATGGGGTGACCCTATTAGGAACAGGGCGCTGCCAGGGCTATGGGGTGACCCTATTAGGAACAGATATGGGGTGACCCTATTAGGAACAGGGTGCTGCCAGGGCTATGGGGTGACCCTATTAGGAACAGATATGGGGTGACCCTATTAGGAACAGGGTGCTGCCAGGGCTATGGGGTGACCCTATTAGGAACAGGGTGCTGCCAGGGCTATGGGGTGACCCTATTAGGAACGGGGCACTGGCAGGGCTATGGGGTGACCCTATTAGGAACAGATATGGGGTGACCCTATTAGGAACGGGGCGCTGCCAGGGCTATGGGGTGACCCTATTAGGAACAGGGCGCTGCCAGGGCTATGGGGTGACCCTATTAGGAACGGGGCACTGGCAGGGCTATGGGGTGACCCTATTAGGAACAGATATGGGGACGCTCCGTGACGTTTTGGGGCCGGCTCTTTCCTTCCTGAGGTCGGAACCCACGCGCGACGCTTTCGAGATGACGGAGGCGACGGCGCCGTCCGCAATGTCCCCAAATGTCCCCGCCCCCAATTTCCCTTCCCCCCCCCAAATGTCCCCATCCAAAACGTCCCCTGCCCCAAATGTCCCCATCCCAAATGCCCCTGACCCCAATGTCCCTGTCTCCAATTCCCCCCCTCCCCAAAAACCCCCACCCCGCAACGTCCCTGACCCCAAATGTCCCCATCCCAAATGTCCCCTATCCCCAATATCCCCATCTCCAATCCCCCCCCTCCCCAAATGCCCCCACCCTCAAATGTCCCTGACCCCAAATATCCCTGACCCCAAATGCCCCCAACCCCAAATGTCCCTATCTCCAATTCCCCCCCATATGTCCCCCCCCCAAATGTCCCGTCCCCAATTCCCCCCCCCAAAATGTCCCCATCCCAAATGTCCCTACCCCAAGTGTCCCCATCTCCAATCCCCCCCTCCCCAAATGTCCCCAACCCCAAATGTCCCCTGCCCCCAATTGCCCCCCCAATGTCCCTGACCCCAAATGTCCCCATCCCAAATGTCCCCTACCCCCAATATCCCCATCTCCAATCCCCCCCTCCCCAAATGTTCCCCCCCTCAAATGTCCCTGACCCCAAATGTCCCCAACCCCGAATGTCCCCTGCCCCCAATTCCCCCCCCAATGCCCCTGACCCCAGTGTCCCTGACCCCAAATGTCCCCATCCCAAATTTCCCTGTCCCCAATGTCCCCATCTCCAATCCCCCCCTCCCCAAATGTCCCCCCCCTCAAATATCCCCATCTCAAATGTCCCCAACCCCAAATGTCCCCTGTCCCCAATTCCCCCCCCAATGTCCCTACCCCCAAGTGTCCCTATCTCCAATTCCCCCCCTCCCCAAGTGTCTTCACCCCCCCAAATGTCCCCATCCCAAATCTCCCTGCCCCAAGTGTCCTTATCTCCAATCCCCCCCTCCCCAAATGCCCCCAACCCCAAATGTCCCCTGTCCCCAATTCCCACCCCAATGTCCCTGACCCCAAGTGTCCCTATCTCCAGTTCCCCCCTCTCCCCCAAATGTCCCTGCCCCCAATTTCACCCCTCAAATGTACCCCCCCCCAATATCCCCATCTCCAATCCCCCCCTCCCCAAATGTCCCCATCCCAAATGTCCCCTGCCCCCAATTCCCCCCCCAATGTCTCGACCCCCAAATGTCCCTGCCCCCAAAAGTCCCCATCTCCAATTCCCCCCCCAAATGCCCCCAACCCCAAATGTCCCCCTGTCCCCAATTCCCCCCCTTCCCCAAATTGTCCTCACACCCCAAATCTCCCTGCCCCCAAATGTCCCCATCCCAAATCTCCCCCCCCCCAAATCTCCCTACCCCCAAGTGTCCCTATCTCCAATCCCCATCTCCCCAAATGTCCCCTTCCTCAAATATCCCCATCCCAAATGTCCCCAACCCCAAATGTCCCCTGTCCCCAATTCCCCCCCAATGTCCCGACCCCCAAATCTCCCTGCCCCCAATGTCCCCATCTCCAATACCCCCTCCCCAAATGCCCCCCACCCCAAATGTCCCCTGCCCCCAATTCCCACCCCAATGTCTCGACCCCCCAATTTCCCTGCCCCCAAAAGTCCCCATCTCCAATTCCCCCCTCTTCCCCAAATGTCCCCCCCTCAAATATCCCCATCCCAAATGTCCCCCAACCCCAAATGTCCCCTGTCCCCAATTCCCCCCCAATGTCCCTGCCCCCAATTTCCCTCCCCCCAAGTGTCCCCATCTCCAATCCCCCCCTCCCCAAATGCCCCCAACCCCAAATGTCCCCTGCCCCCAATTCCCACCCCAATGTCCCTGCCCCCAATGTCCCCATCTCCAATTCCCCCCCCTCCCCAAATGTCCCCATCCCAAATGTCCCCTGCCCCCAATTCCCCCCCAATGTCTCGACCCCCCAATTTCCCTGCCCCCAAAAGTTCCCATCTCCAATTCCCCCCCTTCCCCAAATGTCCCCCTCCTCAAATATCCCCCTCCCCAAATGTCCCCAACCCCAAATGTCCCCTGTCCCCAATTCCCCCCCAATGTCCCTGCCCCCAATTTCCCTCCCCCCAAGTGTCCCCATCTCCAATCCCCCCCTCCCCAAATGCCCCCCAACCCCAAATGTCCCCTGCCCCCAATTCCCACCCCAATGTCCCTGACCCAATGTCCCTATCTCCAGTTCCCCCCCCTCCCCAAATGTCCCTGAACCCCAAATGTCCCCATCCCAAATGTCCCCTGCCCCCAGTGTCCCCATCTCCAATTCCCCCCCCCTCCCCAAATGCCCCCAACCCCAAATGTCCCCTGTCCCCAATTCCCCCCCTTCCCCAAATTGTCCTCACACCCCAAATCTCCCTGCCCCCCAAATGTCCCCATCCAAATCTCCCCCCCCCAAATCTCCCTCCCCCCAAGTGTCCCTATCTCCAATTCCCCCCCTCCCAAATGCCCTCGTCCCCCAATTCCATCCCCCAAATGTCCCCATCCCAAATGTCCCCTGTCCCCAATTCCCCCCCAATGTCTCGACCCCCCAATTTCCCTGCCCCCAAATGTCCCCATCTCCAATTCCTCCCCCAAATGTCCCCACCCCAAATGTCCCCTGTCCCCAATTCCCACCCCAATGTCCCTGCCCCCAATTTCCCTGCCCCCAAGTGTCCCCATCTCCAATGTTCCCCCCCCAAATGTCCCCCCCCCCCCCCCAATGTCCCCCTGGGCCCCTCACCACTCACCAGCACTCAGCAGCACGTGGGCAGCGGTGGCACTCTGCTGTTTTTGGGGGGGGGGGGGAAGGAAGCAGTCAGCGGAAGGACGAGGTGTCGCCGTTCCTTTTTGTGTGCCCCCCCCCCCCCCCAAAGACACCAAACCACCCCCCCCCCTTCCTTCCCGCCCCCCCCCTTCCTCCGGTGCTGATGGGAAGTCGGGATTTGGGGACTTTCCAAAGCCAGGCGGTATTTTGGGGGGGGGTCCCCAAGGGGAGGGGAGGTTTGGGGGGGGGGGGGAGGAAGGAGGGATGGTATTTGGGGGGGGGTCTTCAAGGGGAGGGGAGGGAGATGTAGATTTGGGGGGGGGGGGAAGAAGGGATGGTATTTGGGGGGGGGTCTTCAAGGGGAGGGGAGGGAGATGTAGATTTGGGGGGGGGGAGGGAAAGGAGGGATTGGATTTGGGGGGGGGGGTCCGCAAGAGGAGGGGAGGGAGACGTAGATTTGGGGGGGGGGGGGGAAGGAGAGATGGTATTTGGGGGGGGGTCTTCAAGGGGCGGGGAGGGAGATGTAGATTTGGGGGGGGGGGGGGAAGGAGGGATGGTATTTGGGGGGGGGTCTTCAAGGGGAGGGGAGGGAGATGTAGATTCGGGGGGGGGGGGAAAGGAGGGATTGGATTTGGAGGGGGGGGGGGGGGAAGGAGGGATGGTATTTGGGGGGGGGGGTCTTCAAGGGGAGGGGAGGGAGACGTAGATTTGGGGGGGGGAGGGGGGGAAAGGAGGGATTGGATTTGGGGGGGGGGTCCGCAAGGGGAGGGGAGGGAGATGTAGATTTGGAGGGGGGGGGGGGAAGGAGGGATGGTATTTGGGGGGGGGTCCGCAAGGGGAGGGGAGGGAGATGTAGATTTGGGGGGGGGGGGGAAGGTGGGATGGTATTTGGGGGGGGGTCTTCAAGGGGAAGGGAGGGAGATGTAGATTTGGGGAGGGGAGGGGGGGGGATGGGGGGTCCCAAGGGTGAGGGGAGGAGCCATAGATTGGGGGGGAGAGGGGCTGGAAGGAGGGATGGTATTTGGGGGGGGTCTCCAAGGGAAGGGGGGCAAGCCATAGATGGGGGGGGGGGGGGAAAGGGGGATGGTATTTTCGGGGGGGGGTCCCCAAGGGGAGGGGAGGGAGCCATGGATTTGGGGGGGGGGGGGGGGGATGGAGGTGGTGGGGGGGGATGGTATTTGAGGGGGGGAGGGGAGGGGAATGAGCCATAGATTTGGGGGTGGGGGTCTCCAAGGGAAGGAGAGTGAGCATAGATTTGGGGAGGGGGGAGGGAGGGGGGAATGGTATTTTGGAGGGGGGGGTCTTCAAGGGGAGGGGAATGAGCCATAGATTTGGGGGGGGGATGGGGGGTCCCAAGGGTGAGGGGAGGAGCCATAGATTGGGGGGGGGGGGGCAGGAAGGAGGGATGGTATTTGGGGGGGGTCTTCAAGGGGAGGGAGGGAGATGTAGATTTGGGGGGGGGAGGAGGGGAGTGGGGTCTCCAAGGGAAGGGGGGCAAGCCATAGATGGGGGGGGGGGGTGGTATTTGGGGGGGGGTCCCCAAATGAGGGGAATGAACCATAGATTTGGGGGGGGGGAAGGAGGGATGGTATTTGGGGGGGGTCCGCAAGGGAGGGGAGGGAGCCATAGATTTGGGGGGGGGGGGGGTGTGAAGGGGGTGGAGGAGGGGAGGGCATTTTGGGGGGGGTCCCCAAAGGGAGGGGAGGGAGACGTAGATTTGGGGGGGGGGAAGGGTGGGATGGGGGGTCCCCCAAAGGGAGGGGAGGGAGCCATAGACTGGGGGGGGGGGATGGTATTTGGGGGGGGGGAGGGGAGGGGGAGGGATGGTATTTTGAGGGACAGACGGACAGACGGACGCACGGACGAACCGGTAGCTGGAAGGGGGGGAGTGGCGGACAGACGGACAGACAGAGACCCTGGGCGGACAGACGGATTCCCTCGCAGGGGTGGGCGGACAGTCGGACAGACGGACATAAAGACGGACAGGCAGACAATTGGACAGATGGAGAGAGGGACAGGCAGACGGACGGACAGCTGGACGGAAGGACGGACAAAGGGGACGCCGTGGATGGACGGACAGACGGACACCTGGACGGACAGAGAGCTGGGGATGGACAGAGGGACGACGAGACGGACAGACACCTGGACGGACAGCTGGACAAGGCAGCAGCCAGACAGGCGGACAGCGGACAACCAGACAGACAGACAGAGGAACAAGCAGGTGGACAGACAGACGGCTGGACAGGCGGGACAACAGGATGGACAGAGAGAAGGATAAGCAGACAGACAGACAGACAGACAGAGGAACAATCATGGACAGAGCGCGGGGAATGGAGGGCCAACGGGATGGACAGACAGACGGACAGAGGGACAATCGGACAGAGGGAGAGTCGAACAAGCAGACAGACAGACAGACAAAGGAACAACCGGGCAGACAGGAATAATCAGAAGGACGGACAGACTGACGGACGGACGGAAAGACAGCTGGACAGAGGGACAAGCAGACAGACAGAGGGACAGGCGGGTGGATGGGCAGTTGGCGGACAGACGGACAAGCAGACAGACAAGCAGACAGCCTCCTGGACGGACAGACGGACAGACAGACAGCTGGACGGACAGGCGAAAGGACGGACAGACAGATGGGCACCTGGACGGACGGACGGACGGATGGCGCCTGGACGGGCAGACATGGACGGATGGACGGACGGACACATGGATGGGCACCCGGATGGACGGACAGACAGACAGACAGACGGGCACCTGGACGGACAGGCAGATGGATGAATGGACGGACAGATGGACGGGATGGGCAGACGCGGACAGACGGACGGACAGACACACAAATGGGCACACGGGTGGACGGACAGATGGAGGGATGGATGGACAGACAGACACACGGGAGGGCACCTGGATGGAAGGACAGACGGACAGACAGACAGCCAATGGGATGGACGAACGGACAGACAGACGAATAGATGGACGGACACACAGATGGGCACCTGGATGGAAGGATGGACGGACGGATTGGACGGACAGACAGATGGACGGATGGGCTCCTGGATGGGCAGACGAACGGACAGACAGACAGCTGGATGGACAGACAGACGAATGGATGGACAGACAGACGGATGGGCACCTGGCCGGACAGATGGACGGACAGGAAAGACAGACGGCTGGATGGATGGACGGACAGACAGACGGACAGATGGGCGCCTGGATGGGCAGACGAATGGACAGACAGACAGACAGACACCGGGATGGATGGACGGACAGACAGACGAATGGATGGACAGAAACAATGGATGGAAGGACGGATGGATGGACAGACAAACAGCGGGATGGACAGACAGACAGGACACGTGGATGGACACCTGGTTGGGCAGACGAACAAACGGACAGGAAAGACAGACAGCTGGATGGACGGACGGACAGACAGACGAATGGATGGACGGACACACGGATGGGCACCTGGATGGAAGGACAGACGGACGGGTGGATGGGCAGCTGGATGGGCAGACGGACGGACAGACAGACAGACAGACAGCTGGATGGGCAGACAAACAGAAAAATGGATGGACAGACAGACGAACAGGCACTCGGATGGAAGGATGGATGGACGAACAGACAGACAGACAGACGGACGGGCACCTGGGTGGACAAACGAATGGACAGACAGACAGACACCGGGATGGACGGGAGGACAGACGGACGGATGGATGGACGGACACACAGATGGGCACCTGGATGGAAGGACAGACGGACGATGGGCACCTGGATGGGCAGACGGACGGACAGA